GCGGATAGGTACACGTAAGAGGGGGCAGAGCATCAGACACATCACAGCCAAATAAGGAGTTGTTTATCATAAAGAGCTCTCGCCGTCGGGATGGCGGAAGGCGGAAACCAGCGCCATCTTTAAGGCGCGGCACACGCAGCTCTCCACACAAATTCCCTATGATGAATGTAATTATTGTGTATATCTAAAGTGTACCAATAAAATTAATCTAAAAAACAAAAAGTCAGGGGAGGGAACTTGAATCTGAGAGTGGGGTGTTTCGAGAAGCGAGAGAAGCCCAGGAAGGAACTTTTGGGGCAGGGAATCTGAAGATTAGAACAAGTTGAGTCTTTCCGACGGCCTTAATTCGGGGCTCCATAGTGTTGCGGATCCCGAACATTTGGAGAAACCAAGAGAAGCAGAGTCGAGGAATCTTTGACGCCAAGATGCCGGGGCAGAGCGGGGCTGCCAGGGAGAGTTCAGTGTTCGGGTCTTGGAGGCAGACAGGGAGTTTGGAAGTGAAGTCCAGGGGCGTTTAGAAGTAAGAAAAATAGGAGATATGGGGGGGGGTCCTCATTAAAGATACCTTGTCTCCCCATCGGGGAAGATGAGAGAACGTTAAATAAATACATAAATATTTTTAAAAGTCAGTTTGGCTCAGGCTTTGTATACACCCCTAACTTTGAAAGCTGTTGAGGAATCTTACTGTAGTTCGTTTTCTGTCCTTTTTCCTTCCTGCCTCCGTCCTCGGGTCTCGACTTGTGCCCTGCTTCCCTCTGCCTCTGTCCCTCCTGTCACCATCCCTTTCTGACCTCTCTCCCTCTTACCACCCGTTCTAGCACACCTTCCATAGCGTCTCTGCCCAGGCCGTCTCTAGGCTGCTCCTCTCCCTGCCCTAGTCTTGGTACCTGTCTCTTGTCTCTCCCCCTCAGCATCTCTCTCTGTCCCCGCCAGTCCCCCCACGCCCTCGCTTTTCAAACGCGCGCGAGACGGGTTGTTGCCCTGGCGACCGTTGGTCGGTTTTCTGAACCCTAACCCTCAGGCCCACCCACCGCCCGGGAGTAGAGAAGCCCCTGCCGGCGCTGCGCCTGCGCACACAGAGACTCCGCCTACTACATCTCCCAGAAAGCACCGCAAAGAGCTTCTCCACTCCACCACGGTGCAGGAGATGGCCGAGGAAGAACCCATCCCGGCCAGGGGTTGCCATAGAGACAGCGAGGCTGACGGCGTCCTAGTGAAGGCCATGATTGGTGCAAAACCCTGCAAATCCCAGGAAGGGCCATAGAGAATTGACGAAAATGGGGGGTGGAGGCATGCGCGGTCTAGAGGGAAGTACAGCCATCAGTTGCCCCCTAAGAAGCTTGTGCACATCGACGGGGGCCGGACCCCTGGATTGAAGGCGGGGAGCGTGGAAGAGACAGCCAGGAGGGCGCCCTAACCCTTATAGCCACCGCTGTCCTAGGGGGCGGGACAAAGGGGGGGGTAAAGACGGAGACAAGGTTGGGGGAAGGGCGAAGGGGCGCTTGAGGGGCCGCGGAGCATCTTGGGAGACGTAGTCCGCCGCGGACGGAGCACAGCGATCGCGCATGCTTGGGAGTGTGGCGTGGCCCGCTGAGCGTGGAGCGCTGAGGTGAGGGCGGGGACCTCCCCGCCGGGAAGGATCGGGAGGGGCCGGGAAGACGGCGGGGACTCAGAAGCTCCCGCTTCCTAGAGAGACTGGGAGCGCGAGTACTTCCTGCAGGCGGGCCGCGCGCTGTCGCACGAAGCTTGTCAGTCACCGCTTGTTGCCACGGCGACAGGCTCCAGAAGACCCGCCCACGGTTGCCATGGCGGGGTTTGAGCTGCCCGGACCGGAAGCTGTGGGGCAAGGCTTCTGGGAAATGTATTTCCGGAACTTGCGCCCGGACCGGCCCGCTTGACGACAACCCAAGTTTCTCCCAGGGTTTCAGGTTGATCTGTAACCTTGAGGAGCAAGGTTTTACCCGTGACATCAGGCGGCCCTCGTAATCAGTGACACCTGAGGGTGGGTCATTGCTGTGCCATCCTATTAATAAACTCAGATTTTCACAAAGCCCATGCTATAAGGGTGGAGACAGCCCCATTTACCGATGGGGAAACTGCGGTTCACAGAGCCACAGCAGCTTGATATAGGCGAGATCAGAATCTTGAACCTTCCTTGCAGGCTCCTGGCCCAGTGGTCTCGGGGCCTTGACCTCCCACCCGCACCTCAGTTAGGGATTTGAGATGAATTGTTTCGTGACATAATGAGTTGGGCTTGGGTGGTAGGGCTTGGTGGGGGAAGGGTACTGCCTGGGACCTGGGCCACACTGGTGACTGCAGTTTGGGGTGGGGGACCAGTTGCCACGAAGATGCCCCTGGAGCCAGGCTGGGAATGAATTTGATAGATGGCCTTAGTTAGGGGCCAAGTCTGAAAGACTGAGTGGGAGCATTGACAGTACAGTGAGGGGCTGGTGCTGGGGACAGGAGGCAGCAGTGGTGCTGATCCCAGGTTGTAGGTGGTACAGGTGCCATCCAGCAGGTAAAGGGAGAGCTGAAGGCAGGGATGAGGTCACCAATGTTGAAGAAGAGCAGGATATAGTGAAGAGAGGTGTTATCTAGGCCTAAGGAGCAGCCTGGTTGTTTTGTTGTTGGTTTGGTTTGGTTTAGTTTTTTGAGACAGGATCTCGCTATGATCTTCCTCCTCAGCCTCCCAATTGCTGGCATTACAGAATAGCGACACTGTGCCCAGCTTTTAGCAGGTTGTGTTGAGATGGGGGATTACCAGAGGTTCTGCACAAGCCAAGCTGACGAAAAGCCCAGAAAAATGGTCCCTGGTGTGTAACCTCCCCTGTGTCTCAGTTTTCTCATCTGCCTTCCACATGGCGGCAGTTCTGAGGATTGAACAGCACAGCATGCAGTATGTTCTCAAGATGTATTCACTGCCAGTCTGTCCTTAGTGCAGCAGCCTTATTCTTTTCCTTCACTAGATACGGACACTGACATTGCAGACTTGATCTAGTGGTCCTGATGAGGCCCATCATGCTGGGACCCTTGGGCCATCCACCCCCAGAAGATGATGAGCCTGTCATGGTGAAGCTGGAGGACTCTGAGGAAGAGGAAGAGGCTGCCCTGTGGGATCTGGGACCTGAGGCTGCACGCCTGCGCTTCCGAGGTTTCTGCTATGAGGAGGCAGTGGGACCCCAAGAGGCCCTGACCCAGCTTCGAGAGCTGTGTCACCAGTGGCTGCAGCCAGAGTTGCACTCCAAGGAGCAGATGATGGAGCTGCTGGTGCTGGAGCAATTCCTGTGTGTGCTGCCCCCTGAGATCCAGGCCCACGTGCAGGGGCAGCGGCCAAGTAGCCCTGAAGAGGCTGCTGCCTTAGTTGACAGGCTCCGTTGGGAGCTGGGCAGGCCTCGGAGATGGGTGAGTCAGTGGCCTCATGGAAGGTCAGTGCTGGAGCATTGTCCTGCTTTGTCTTACACTGGGGAGTGCTGTGTTCAGCTACACACACACACACACACACACACACACACACACACCATAGTACAGAAGTGGCCACCTACCACAAAGACCTTTTGTAAGGCTGCTCAGAGCAGGAGGGTTATCCACAGCCCATTCCTGCATTAGCTGAAATCCTCTGTACATATGGGCTTCAGGGTAAGGGGAGAGAGGGAGGATACCATGCAGCTCTAGACATCAGTAACAGAGAGCACCTGAAAGTGGTCCTTTTGCTCCCAGCTCCAGGCCTATGAGAGGTAGAATCCTGAAGGACCTCATTAGTTGGTACTAACCAGGCAGACTTGGGTCCCAGAGTGAAGTGGTTCCCATGAGCCCCACCCCAGTTGTGCCCAGTCCCACTCTCTGCTTGGTGGGGTCATCTCTCCAGGTCACAGTCCAGGTGCAGGGCCAGGAAGTCCTGTCAGAGAAGATGGAGCCTTCCAGCTTCCAGCCTCCACCTCGGACCAAGCCTCAGACTCCAGATCCTGGACCTGAGACACCTCCTGGGGCTTCGCAGGAATTGCCGCTGGGCTTTCAGGTGAAAGAGGATCCAGAGGCTACGGAGGAGCCAGGTGAGACCAAGCAAGGTGGACTGGGCCTGCTGGAGGAAATGGTTCCCATGTGCCCTTGGCCCTCGCCACCCACCCAATCAGGTTTCCCCTCCAGTCCAACCATCTCTGTCCCTTACAAGCTACGGCCCCGTTTCCATAGCTCTTCCCCAGCATGGAGCACACTTTGGGGTTGTGTCAGATCAGTGAGGGACACACACTTGCAGCTGGGGATCAGGCTGCTGTATAGGTGAGTGCTGCTGTAGCAGGACCCTGCAGTGCTGGAGGTGTGCCCTCCACCTTTACCTCCCCACCACACGACACCATTCCTGCTTGTACACACACTCGTGGCCATCCTGCCCAGGGTGCCCAGGGCTGCAGAGGCTCAACCTAGGCCCACCCCAGCCCTCAGAGGCCTGACCCTTGGCTTTCTAGTGTGCTCTCCTTTGCCCCACCTTGCCTGCCCCAGCCCTCAGCTGTCACCCAGGTTTCCCTCTTGCCTCAGCTAGTACCTGGATGCTGTCACCTGTCATACCACTGAGAAGGGCCGTGGGGTGGGAATGTCCTCAGGCTACCTGACCCCACTTTCTCTCCCTAGAGTTGCTGGAGTCTGGGCCTTTACCTGTGACCCAGGAGGCTGCACCCACTGTCCTACCTGAGGAGGCCCAGGTGAGCCCCACACAAGATGTGACCCATTCCCTGCCCAAGCCTCCGAGGTGGGTGCCAGTAGATCCCTGTGCCCACCCGGCAGATGAGCTGTGACCACTGTGGTTTCAGGGCTACAAGACTGCGCTGGAGCTGACCTCTCCCCACGGTGACACTGGCCCCGAGGGGTCCTCGTGGAGGGAGCAGCCTAGGGCCCTGTGGCTTGAGGAAGCTGGGGGCCTCTTCTCGCCAGGTGAGTGAGACATGACCCACAGTGGGTCTGGGCCCCACAGCTCTCTACCTTGCTCCTGGTCCAACCAGGCTGCCCTCTCCAGGTCCCCGAACTCCCCTCTTCTCCAGACCATTCTCTGCCTTGGGCCCCGTGCCTCCCCTAACCACCATAAATCTCCGAGAGTCCAGCTTGTGTTTCCCACGCCTGTGTCTTCTCCCAGTCGTGGCATCCTAGGTTCTGCTGGTCGGGTATCGGGGCAGGGAGCGTCCAGATGTGGTATGAAGGGCAGGTTGGTAAACAGAGCGGGAGGGGCCTTGACACAACAGAGGAACCTGGCAAGGGCAAACTAGGGTCCTCCCGGGATCTCCTGTCTCGGTTTGCTCTTTGTGTTGGCGGGGCTTCCTGTGGATTCTGAGATGTTACATGTCTGAAACATTTGTCTAATCTTTAACACTGCATCATTAGATGCAAGTCTGATTGGAAGATGTTCTTACCTGTACTGGGAACTGAATTCATTCTCTAGGCAAGAGCTCTACCACTGAACTATAATATACTTCCCCAGCCCCACATTTTTCATTTTTCTTTTTTGTTTTTTTCTCAGTACTGTACTGGGGATTGAACCTAAGGTCTTTACAATGAGCTACATCCTCAGCCCTACTTTTATTTTTTGAGACAGGAACTTGCTAGGTTGCCCAGAGTGGGCTCGAATTTATTATCCTCTTGCCTCAGCCTCCCAGAGTGCTGAGATTACAGACCTGCACCGCCACACTGTTTCAGAACTATTTTCATTAGCTCAATGTCAGAGTTTTATCAATGTTATTAATGAACACATTCAATTTGAAGTTCATCTCTCTCAGTTGTAGAAAGGTGCCTTAAAATGTTTCTTTGATTTCTTTACTGCCATTGTTCTGTTCTGTTTCTGGGCTGTATGTCATATTTATATCTCTGAGTCCGGTTGAGATTTGCATTTCTGCTAGCAACTATTTAATCTCCAAGAGTATTTTAATTCTTTAAATGTACACTTTTATAGTTGCTTCCTGTTGTTCTATCAGTTGTGATGTCTTCCCTTATTTCTCTGAGGACAACAATAACTTGTTTCACTAAGTTTTCTTTTCCCACTGTGGCCTCTTTCTCCCCAAGTTGTTTGGGTGTGGACCTTACTAGCTGTGGTGCAAGGCCTAGGGGAATGTGGGACAACTGCTCCCTAAGGAGCTTGACTTCTTATAGGGAAGTGAGCAGGGTCTGAAATTTAAGTGGTTGTCACTGAAAGATCCATAGGGCATTCTGGCTGGACAGTCTCTGCTCTGACTTCCCTTACGTCTTCCTCTGAGTCCCCAGCTCAGCTTCCTGACAGAATCCTGGCAGAAAGGATGACATCTTGGCATCCAGAGTTACTGCTACTTAACCCTCCTGACATTCTCAAAGTGTTCTCCAACCTCAGTGAAGCCTTTTGTTAGGATAGAGGAGAAACCCAGGAATCAGAACCACAGGGGGTACACTGTGGGCTCAGAATTCTGTGCAGAGCCCAGAGCAGCACCGTGCCCAACATCACCTGCAGCTGCTTGGCCAGGGAGGCCTGGTGCCTACATCTCCTGGGCTTTTAGAACCTTGACATGGTGGCGCACACCTAGAATCCCAGCACTCAGGAGGCCAAGGCAATAGATCAAGCCCAGCCTAAACTACACAGCAAGACCCTGTCTATATTTTCTAGGTTTTTGTGGGGGTTTTTGGTACACAGGGATCGAATTGGGACCTTGCACTTGCGCAGCAGGTGCCAGAACCACTGAGCTAAATGCCCGGCCAGACCCTGTCTATAAAAAACGAACAGGGCCGGGGATTTAGCTCAGTGGTTTCAATGCCTGCTACGCAAGTGCAAGGACCCGAGTTCGGTCCCCGGTACAAAAAAAAACAAATAGAACCTTGGAAGTAAAACAGGTTGGGGTTGTTTTGTTTTGCTCTGTTTTTTAGCTTTTCAGCTTCCCCAGTGCTAGCGTAGTATTTATCTAAGCACCACCACACCTGGCTTGACATCGTCAGATTCTCATATGTCCTTCCAGGAAGATTCTATACAAGGGAGCAAAGACATGTAAGTATAGTTAGAATGTGGCACATAACGCAATGGTGCTTTGTAAGATTATATTGGTGTTAGGGGTGTACCTCAGTAGTAGAGTACATGCTTACCACAGTGTGAGGCCCTGGGTTCAATCCCCACACACACAGAGTATTTGGCTATGACATCATAGCCATCACTCTGTGATGTTCACACACAAAAACACCTAAGAATACATTTCCTCGAACTATTCCTAGAATTAAGTATCACATAACTTTTGGGGGGGGGGGGTACTGGGGATTGAACTCGGGTCCTTGTGCTTGCAAGGCAAGTGGCAGAACCACTGAGCTAAATCCCTGGCCCTCACATAACTTTTTTCTTTCCGGCACTGGGAATCAAATTCAGGACTTTGCGCTTGCTGGGCAGGCACAGCATCACTGAGCTACATCCCAAGCCTGGTGTCATGCAATACATGCTCTTTTCCTATGTTTTTTTTTTTTCGGTTGTTTGTGCAACCTTGAACTCACTATGCAGTCCAGGCTGATCTCAAACTCATGGCAATCCTCCTGCCTCAGCCTCCCAAGTGCTATACCACCATATCTGGCTCAAAATTTAAAAACAAAAGAAAGGAAAACAGGAAAGGGCTGGGGATGTAGCTCAGTGCAGTGGCCCTGGGTTCAATACCCAGTACCGAAAAAGAATCCACATGTGGTAAAAAGAAAAATCCAGGTGCCTAATATCAACCCTGTCCCACACCTGTCATTTTTCATGCCATACCTGGCTTTTCCCACTTTAAACAACAGCAGGGGGCACCCTAGGTCTTTACACCGCCTTGTAGAGCACTGCTATACCTCTCTGGACACATCATTGTGTTTGTCCCCCCAGGTTCCTACTGACATACAGTACTTCTGGGTTTTCCTTGGTGCACTGAAAAACACTGTGCAAGGCAGACATGTGGCACATGCCTGTAATCCTAGCACTCCTGGGTGCTGAAACAAGAGCACAACAAGTGTGAACCAAGCCTTGGGCAATTTAGCAACACACTGTCTCACAGTTAAAATTTTTTTTTAAGGACTGGGAGTGCAATTCACTGCAAAGGCCTGGATTCAACCCCTAGTACCACAAAATAATTACAGTAATAATTAATTTTTTAAGCAAAACCTTTATTGGTACATTTTAGATATACATAATGATAACATTCATCATAAGGAATTTATACCTACATATGATATTTATCTTGCTTTTTTCCATTCCCCCCTCCCTTTGACCCCACTTCCCCTCCTTATTTACGAAAGCTTTGTTTCTATTTTTTCTTTCTATTCTTTTTTTTTCCTTCTATTCTTTTTTTTTCCTTGTCCCTTCTTCCCCCCACCCCCCCTCTTTTTTTTGGTACTGGGGATCGAACTCCGGACCTTGCACTTGTGAGGGAGGCAGGCGGTGGAACCACTGAGCTAAATCCCCCCCCCTTGTTCCCATTCTCATTTGAACATTTTCTTCCCATTTCCCGCTATCTATTATACATTTTGATCCTTATTTCCATTTTCGGGTTTTCACACCAGAGAAATAATGTGGTATTTAAACGTGTGTTGGATTTATCTCACAAGAGTATCATCTCAAGGTGCATTTATTTAGCTAGAAATGTCTCAAGCTTTATGGCAGAGTAGTACTCCATTGTATTTAAAAAAAAAAAAAACCCACACATCTTTATCCATTTGTCAGCTAAATGGCATTTAGGCTGTTTTTAAGATTTAGCTAGTAATAATTGATTTTAAAAGGAGCTAAGGATGTAGCTCACTGCAGTGAACCCAAGTTGATTCCCAACACCACAAGAAAAATAAAAATTGTTCACAGGTTGTTTAGCACAAGGAGGAACACAGCTATTGAAGAAACACCTAAAAGTGCAATTGGAGTCACTAGGCCAAAGTGTAGCTCACCAGCAGTGCTCAGGAGCACTTGAGTCCCTGCACTGGCAACGTGGAGATGAGTTCAGCCCTGCTGTGCACTTTTCTTACTAATGGGAGAGGGGGACTGGGAGAGGGGGACGGATGAGCGTATTTTATGGGCTTATGCAGCTACATTCTTTTTTTTTTTTTTTTTTTTT